AACAGGTTTGTTGGCCATATACTAAAGAAAACGACAGCAAGTTTTGGTGGTAAACAATTGCTCGTCGACGCTGAGTTTCTGCGCTGGCACAGCATTGTTGAGAATTGCAAACAAATGCACTGCAAAATACAGAAATCGAAACAAATTTGTCAGCACGCAATCGTTCACCACTGCTAGTACGCATAAGAAAACGAAGGAATCCCATTATTTCCTTGAATCTGTCCTTGCCAATTGTGTACCTGAAAATGGGAAATCCGGATTTATAGTATCACAGCATATTCAATGTCATGTTCGCCAAACCCAAAAAGCCTCTGATGAAAAGTAGCCCAATGAAAGCACGCAATACGGGAACACTTATGTTCCACTGATAACTGACACCTAAAACTCTCCTGACTTCAACGTCAGCACATACTTGGATATATTTCCGCATCCGGGACGTAATGATGATGTCAAAAGCATTAGAGAGCTCGCCACATTTCACACATACCTTAGTGCAGGCAGTCAGCCCTGGTCTTATCTTGGAAACAAACTGTGCTGCCATCGAAACAACAGTAGTTGTTTGGGACTGTATCGCGATATGATATGATATGTGAACTTCGCCGGAAGATGCAGAAAGTGCTGACATACTTTCAAGGGTTTTGCCGTCACCACTAACTTAGTGAGGACAGCTGCGGAATCCTGGACAGTGAGATTATCATTAACCTTATATTCACTCTCGTCTTCAAACTAATCGACAGCCGCAAGTTCTCGTAGAACTTCAAAAGCTGTTCTCCTCCTACGAGCAATTTTGGTTGTTTCGCCGCCGACGGTTCACGTCCACATGACCGCAAGAAGAGAAAGACAAGCTCGGTCCGAGTTGTATGCAGAAGAACACTGCTTCTATATATATATTTATATATATAAGGTACAATATTTTGTGAAGCAAGGCAACAAAAGCATGGTGGAGCTAATCAACATTATGGGAAACAACGAATAATACGAGGAATGATGCCTTTAATCAAATATCAAGGAACAAACGATGACGAAGCGACTAAGAATTGTAGCAAGAAATATTTGTCCATTGATCATCCCCTAACAATTTTGAATAAAGGTGGCGTCTGAATATAAAAACGGAAATCGAATGAGAGGAATGTGGTCAATGTGAGCGCTCAAAGGCTTTCTATGTAGCAAGAAAACAACTCTCGCTCTTCTCGAAAGCCATAACAGATAGTAAAGTGAAAGTTCAGTTATGCGCACAACAAAAAATTAAAAGTCCTGAAATATCTTTGATAAATGATTACGAGTGTAGATGCTGTGCACATATAACAACAATGAGCAGCTAAAATGACCGTTCCGGTATTAAACATCTGCGTGGTAAAGCTATACAGCTACTTCGGTTCGAAAACCACTAAAATAGTCGACTGCGATGTGGCACTACTTATTGTCATTCGAACAGGGGCTGAGCGTAATACACCGATACAGAGTTTCGGAACTCCAATGAGCATTATTTTCTCCATCGATTGTGTTGGAGCATGGCTTCTACAAATCTCACATCCGTTGGCAGTGTTAGTTGTGCTAGCCATTATGGGCTAGTAACAGAGCTCATTCGCCCACTGAATATTGCCGTTGTACGCAGGCGTGCGCCATTTAGATACCTTGTACCATCTGCTAACTGGAAGTTAGTACATTTGTCTCCCCCTGAACATAAGTTCGTCTCCCACGACAGACTTTGCAATCGCTAAAAAACCGTCACATCTTGTGCAAGCTTGTCTTTTATGGCGGTTACCAAATTCTGATGCTCTTACTCAGCTCGAAAGAAGCCACAGTCCGAACGCAGATTTGTATTATAGCAAACATACGCATCACTTCTGACAAACAAAACTTGTACTCATTTACGCGTTTTCTAGTGGCGGTTGCTTGGCGCGTAGTGGTTCCGTGTCTATTCCTCGCGCGTATACACCTGGGATTCCCAACGTTCCTCTGCTGTTTGGGGCATTAGTATGGTCCGCTGCTGACGCTTGACCGTTGGGTTTTCGTGCGCGTTACACCACTAACACTTGGTGTAGTAGTACCTGCTTTTTCTTCCACCATGCGCCTTTCTTTCCAAAGTGCTCATCCATTGCGTTCGCCTCGAGTCTTTCAGACCTTCGGGGCTGCTCAGTGTGCGAAGGGCTAATTCGTACCTCTTCTTCAGCTCACTGGCATGATTGGCCGCGAACCTACTTGCCAGGCGATTGCGTATATTGGGACTCCTCGGTTGACTACCACGCATGGCCTTTTCCACACCGGAAGAAGCTTTTTTCACCTTAGCACGTTAATTATCCTGGTATTTCCCTTCAAATCAATTGGAAACTCGCTCGCCGGTTTAGGACTTTTGCATCCTCTACACCTAACCCGCGTTTCTGCTGTTCAGTATTCGGCAACTCAGCCACACTCCAACCCTAGAGCCACGGGTAATCGAGGCGCTCAAATGGAACGGCAATTTCTCTATGGAAGCCTGTTTGGATGCTCGACGGTTCTGCGAAAGTAGAGACAAAATTTCCTCCTCGTCTCCTCCCTTTGGCACTGCTCACTCCCTAATCGTTCTACTGTTATGCTCCGTCAAGCCATTTGTCTGCGAGTGGTAGGGGTTATCCGTACCTTGGTGGTGTCAAACTTTTCCAAGCAGATCCGGAATTCACCACTGTCGATGCACGGACCCTGGTCTGTTAATGTGGCCTTTGGGATTCAGTGACCCGCTAGCAAACGTTTCATGAGGGCATAGGTAGTGATGCTCCCGTTGATCCGGGATTCTCGTTCCTTCAATCCAGTGCGTGAAATGCTCGGTCATCAATAATATGCATTTGTTACCCTGCCTGGTCCACCGGGACGGTACCATCACGTCGATCGATCATAACTTCTCAGTATCAGGTACCGGAATTGACAGTGCTGGTTGTTGTGCTCCTCGACAGTCAGTTCTTAAGAGTTGACATTGCTTACATGGAAGAAGGCGTTACTTGATGTCCCTCTTATGCCTGGCCAGTAGACGCGCTGCTTCCGCAGGTCGTAGAACCTGGCACAAGCACTGTGCGTCATTTCGTTGAAATGACCGACACCGAATTGTTACTACTTCATGGCATCCGCATCAGCATCCCAAGTCCATTTAATTGCAGCTTCTGCAAATTTCTTGTAAACGGTCCCAGACGCTTGCGACGGCTCGGGTTTATGACTGAGTAGTAGGCTACTGCTGCAGTGATCACAGTGTACAAGAGATTATCACTACACAGTGCCTCGCGGTTGACAAGTCGAACGCTTTGGCGAAGTCGGCAGGTATGATTAGCGGCATCCCGGTTCAGCATCTACTTGTCACTGCGGCCTCCACGGGGATAGCCATAGGACGCCTGTGCTTACTGAGGGGCCATAAGTGGCTTGAGTTGTACCACTCACACACACTCCATATTCAGTGTAAACACGAAGGAATAAGATCGGGAGGCATGTGGATGGGAGCAATGTTTCATCAACGGAACCGGTCGATACTCCTTCAAGATGCCCAGCAGTAACATTCCAGTCAGTCTAATTGGGGAATCAAGCATACAAGATGTGCACAAGGCGATGGCTGGGTTGTAGCCCGTTCCACACTGGATGTATGGAACCACTGTTTGAGCCCAGCATATCATGAAGACTGTGAACCCGGTCTCCACCAGGCAATGATCAACTGGCCCCTGGAGCCAATATAACCGAGTTAGTAGCTTTTAGACAGGTAGGCACACAGTCGGCATTCACATCAAGCGGAGCCACACTTGGGATAGCAAACTGTAAACACACAATATTAAAAAAATAAACATGCGAAACGAACGGTAAATATGCGACAGGGTGAAAAACCGAGCTAATAAGATAAATGTGTTTCAAGTCTGAGCAAGTGTAATGGTGATCGTGTGCAACTGTCAGGAGATATAAGCCTATTAACACGATAATCTGTGCCAAATATGGAAGCAGCTTCTCAGGTGAAGAGAAATATACCTATTATTATTATTATAACACAGCGAAGAAAAAAATGGGTTCCGTCAGATTTAGTTTGATGCGGATCGATCAACAACTAACGCTTGAAACGCAAAGAGAAACGCAGGCACATGTACAGACCAACTGCAACACAAGTGCGTCATCGACCGCATAAATTGGCCTGGGTAAGTAAATGGAATCGAGACCAGCGTACTTACCAAGCGATGCACTGATAATGCCTATATATTCAGCTGACTCGTTGCCTTTTCGATGTTGGCCCATTACGGCCATGCCAGTGGTTTGCAAGTCGAGTGCTGTTAGTTCAACCATCATATGGGGGTCAGAGAGCATAGTTACGAAAACGCAACTGACATCCACACTCCAGGTGTCCGATGTGCGTGCGAGTGCAGCCTGTTGTCTTAGAGTGTAAACATCGAACGCCACTTGGAAAACGAAGAAGCGTGGTCCTGTAAATGCTGTTGATGATACAAGTTCAACGGGGAACGCGGAAGGATGACAACCAGTGGCAAAACCCTAGTGGTATCGCAGCTAGTAATTATTGAATGGTTGCTAGGAATGCGGTTTTAAAAGAAACAGGTGGAATAGAAGACATCAGTAGTGGGATGATTTCATCTGTCCACTCCGCTGTACACAGCAGGCTGTTTTTGAGTGTGTGAGCAAGTGAGCCGAGATACTGCCAGGGGGCCCAAACCGGGACGCAAAAAGGATTGCGGTCCTAAATTAGTTCGTTGGTTTCAGAAGCCTGCGGCAAGAGGGCAGAGAAACGGCAATGCATCGGTTTTATGGAAATGGATGCTATCCTGTCTCTAACCCTCCAACCAGGTAGAGAAAAAGACTGAGTCCGATGATCTCTAACCAATGACAAAACTGGTAAGAGTAGCTCTCAAAAGCCTCAAGGGTACCCCGTGGAGTAGCTCAATGCGTCGAAGTGACATACAGACCATCACACCACGTTAAGGTGGTGCGATGAAGCAAAAAGTATCAAGTAGCCCCCTCTCTAATAACCCATAATAGACATGACCCGAAGATGGAGGAAGAATTGAGTGACACAATGCTGAAGGTGAAAGAAATATTAGATGACAATCAGTGGTGCTATCTGAACCAAAGCATAAAATGGGGCCAACCTAATCGAGCCATAGTGTCGATTGGTGGAATGAGTGGGAAGATATCAAATTGGATGCCTCGAGAAGCAAGCATGAAGCGCATAGAGAAGGTTGCTTGTTGATTGAAGAAGCAAAGCCGAAACAAGAAAAAAGGTGTACAGGTGATGAAAAGTGTGCAAACAGCGGTGTGCCGTTGAAGACGTTTTTGGTTCGAGGAAGTAGTCATATTGTAAAACGACGTCAGCAGGAAAAAAGAAACACGTGTACCAGCAGAGAAAGGTCTACTACCATTCTGCTTCCCCAACTGCCTTTTGAAACACATGATCCCGCCCGTTGATGACCATAATACCGTCCTTGAGGTGGAACCGCCATCGGTTTCTGGATCGTTGAATCTGATGCGCGGAGAGTGAACAAGAATAAAGTTGCAATGAGCAGTACACTATACTACAGGACAGCAGAGAAAATCTGGTATCATGAAGTCGTACCAATTTACTATAATAGGGTGGTCAACTAGATAGGGCAAAAGCACGTAAAAGAACCAACTGGGTAGGTAGACAAAAATTATTCGTCCATCGTCAATACCTGGTTGCAAAAACAGATTCCTTGGAAGCGTCAGTAATATTGCCTAAGCTATGCAAGTTCACTGAATTCTAGGTAATATCATGGCGAAGAAGGCTTCCAGCCAAGGAATTAGCACATATCGACGGGTTAACAGGAAAGAGGGTGAGCAGCAAACCAGTTGTTCCAGTGGGATTACTTCGATCCTCCGCAATACCGAGGACCGGTCTACCGCCGGTTTTAAGGGGTGGGAAAAAGCTAAAATGGCCTGTGGGTAAGCCTGAGAACAAGCGGCAGTCAGAAGCCAAGAATACATCCCACAAATTACTATCAGTTGTTTCCTATTTATTAAAGCTCTTTCAAACATTTAGTGCTTTTTCATAGTGTTATATCCGTGTTTGTTTGTTACTAAGTGACCATAGATTTGAGTTTACACAGGCGCACATTCAGAGGTTATTTTTGCTCTGTTCCGCTCTGACTGTTCCATGGGCCGTCAACGGGGTGCTGTAGCTCTTTAGGTGAGTTGTCACATAGTCATGTTGAGGACCAGCGTTTCTCAGTCTCTCCACAAATCTGTTGAGGCTCTCGCAGTTTTGCTTTGCGCTTCCTAGGTTCAGGTTACGGTCGTATTAGTGTATAGAAGCCCCATGAGCATCTCCAATGGGAACACTGAGTTTATAGGTACTCACTCTGTGAATAAGTATCTGGTGATGCGAGACTTTAACCTCCCAGAGGTTTATTGGGTTGATCTAAGTTGCGAATCGGCGCTGGGATCGTTCGGTGCAGAACTGCTGAACTTAAGGTTGCAGGTACCACCACTAGACACATGAGCAATCAGCAGTCGTCCATCTTAGATATTGTTTTTGTTAAGTTACTTGGCTATGTAAATGACAGTACTTACGACTCGCCTTTTGCGTCAGCAGACACCTTTGCTTATCTTTTTAGTGTACCCTTATCAGGCCCTACCAAGCTACTAGCAGCTGGTATCCAAACATTTGGGACGCGAACTTCCAAGCGATGCGGGATAAACCTATGTCATCGCCTTGTGTGATCTCTGTGACCGACACTGTTCACGTAGTCTGGGAAAAAGTTAAGGCTCACCTCGTTGACATTTCTGCACCTCATCCCACTGATAAAAAGAAGGGACTCGGGAGTGTAGCCTCCGTAGATAGATTACGCTGGGAAGGGCCTGCTAAACAAGCGGTCAAGATGCTGGCGAGCGAATCGAACGGCTCTGTCGACCAGCAGGTTTGACAGGTATCAGTTGGTTCGAAATTAGTGCAAGTTACACCTTAGATTGGTCAAGCTTCAGTATGAAAACAGCTTAGCTGATATTGCATCGACAAATCCTAAGTAGTTTTTCGTGTACGTTAAACGACGTATGGTGCAAACTCGCCCATTCCAGCGTTGCTTCGAAGAGATGGGACCCATGCTCATAGCGAATATAACAAGGCATGCGTGCTTGGTGAGTAGTACACAAGCGGCTTTGCGCGAAACAATACGCCATGCAGAGAACTAAGCTAAAGAGTCTCAAGTTTTCCGGTTGCTGAGAGAGGTGAACCCAACTAAGGCTTCCGGACCAGATTCTGTTCATCCAAAATCGCTGCACGAATTGGCAGCGGAACTCAGTCAACCTATGACTTGTGTGTTTCAGAAGTCACTCAACAATGGTGATTTACCTATCGAATAGAAGGCTGTTGTCTGTCCGATTTTTAAGTGCGGTGACAAAGACCTACGGGCTAATTACAGGCCTGTCAGCTTGACTAGCGTGGTGGTTAAATTACTTGAAAATTCAGTAAGAGAACCATTTGAATAAATTTAACCAGCTTAGCGTCGCACAACATAGTTTTCACAAAAAAGACTTTCGTGTCAAACGAACTTGCTGGTAACTCGTGAGAGCTGGTCTAAAGCCACAGACAGTGGACATGTAATGGTGTTCACTGACTTCGCCAAGGCCTTTGACTCTACCTGAAGTCGGGGTCTTATAGAATATCTAGTCGCGTTCTCCAGTAGGTGTCAGCTTTTATGGATGGACGAGAACAGAGTATTCGTGTGGGTAGCAATCTTTCGTTTCGACAAGCTGTCCTTAGCGGCGTTCCGCAAGGCTCTGTCCCAGGTCCACTGCTGTTCGCAGTCAACGTGAATGACTTGGCGGGGGAGCTTGAGGTACCATCGCTTTTATTTGCTGATGAGCTAAAGCTCTGGAATATAGTTGATGTCCCTGACAGTCCTGCAGCTCAACAAAGTGGCTCAAGATACGATCAAGGAATTCTCTGTCTTGTGGTTGATGCCTAGAAACCAGGCAGTGTTCAGTGTTGCGTACCAGAGTTCAAAATAAAGACCAAGACGTAGGAATAGCACCTGATTTAAAAACCACACAGGATACAGCGAAAAAGGTTGCCGCTGCAAACAGGTGTGCAGCGCCTTAAGAAGATCTTTCTCTCGAATGAAAAAGATCTTCAGGCTCCTGTTCACTTACCATCTACGAGCGATTCTAGAGTATTGGCTGCCAGCAACATTTCCATTCCCTAAGTTTGAATGCGCCTAATTCGAAAAGGTCCGGAGATGTGGCTCTAAGTCCGTTTCCGGGCTTCGTGATCTTTCCTATTCCCTCCGGAATAATGAAGCTGGTAACATGTATGCACGTAAATGTCCTGTGGCTGGCCACAGTGACTATATATATATATATATATATATATATATATATATATATATATATATATATATATATATATATATATATATATATATATATATATATATATATATATATGGTGCGCTGAGGCTGTTGGTGGCTAGATCCTGACAGATGGTCTACCCACTACTGCTGCGCCATAGTCTCATGTCCTGGGCGCCTCCACGTGGCGACCGCTGGGTGGGACTTAGGTTTCGCCCTTCTCCCTGCTAAGATCCAGGACACCAATCCGCATGAGTCAGCTAACTGACCATGTGCTAGACCCGCTGCCTTTCGGGTGTTCATTTAATCGAAGGCTTTGGCTGAGGACCCGAGTCATTCTCCTGTCAGGATTGGGCGCCCTAGCAGTATCCTAGTCCATCCTCTCCGGAGGTTAGAAAGTGGTCGATGGCCCACTTCCCGTAAAACCTAGCCATGGGAGACAACAGGTTTACGGGTTATATTCCCAATGCTCGATTGGCGTAGAGCATGAGTGCCACGCATTGTCTCTGACGGTGGGAGGCCACCTCCGGGTGTTCAATGGTTTGCTACTGCCCGCCTCAAGCCAGGCAGCCCCTGGTCAAATTGGTGCAAACCCGCCAAAAACCCACCTGCGTCTGGCCGTGGTCGCAGGTGCGTATCCAATTACGGTCGCAAAACATATGATAACTGTTCCAGAACCTCAAAGACTGCGTGTGACGGCCATCAAGCAGACCCCAATCTGTCTCTGCAATCACATTCCCGAGCTGGATCTGCTCACCACTGCCTTGCGGGTAAGGCTATTGAGCCAAAGGCTCCGGGCGGAGTCCCTCAAGCAAACCTCCAAACCACCCACTGCCTTGTGGGTCAGGCTATTGAGCCAAAGGCTCCGGGTGGAGTCCCTCAAGCAAACCTCCGAAGGACAGCGACCACCTCGCGTGCGATTGCCCACCAATGCAATCGTATGCCTGCGCGCAAAGCACTCAACATCGGGTGCTGGAACGTGCGCACACTACTGGACCGGAACTCGAGCGAGCGCCCGGAGCGACGCACTGCACTGGTCGCAATGGAGCTGGCGCGCTACCACATCGATATTGCGGCGCTCAGTGAAACTCGGCTCGCTGAGCAAGGTAAGTTACATGAAGCAGGTGCTGGCTACACATTCTACTGGGTGGGGAACGCCGCCTCAGCACCACGTGAACATGGGGTCGGATTTGCAATATCCGACCGCCTGAATGGCCAGCTGGTGGGTGAACCAACGGGCATCAGCGCGCGACTGATGACTGTTCGCCTGCGACTCGGAAGAGGTAAGTTTGCTACTTTTATAAGCACGTACGGTCCGACCATGTGTTATCCTGATGACACGCGTGATCAGTTCTACACTGAGCTATCCTCCGTGATACGGTCTGTGCCGAGGAGCGACCGACTATTTTTGCTGGGTGATTTCAACGCGCGCGTTGGGCGTGATGCATCAGCGTGGACAGATGTTATCGGTGCGCATGGCATTGGTTCAGCGAATGCGAACGGTGACAGGCTGCTCTCACTGTGTGCCACTCACGGCCTGACGATCACGAACACTCGGTTTGCACTGAGTGCGAGTGATATAGCAACTTGGACGCACCAACGGAGTGGTCACGCTCACCTGCTCGACTATGTCATCGTACGTCAGCGTAATATGCGTGAAGTGCGTATGGCATGTGTCCTGCGTGGAGCTGAGTGTGGCACTGATCACGAATTGGTTCGGACGAAACTGTACATATATTTTCGTAAATCTATGTATTGCACTCCCGCCGTGAATCGGCGTAAATTTAACATTCTCTCCCTCGGCACTGTGGCGAAACGTACTGAGCTGGAGAAGGCGATGGCTGCACGCCTGTGTGGTGATGTGGACTGTATAGCCACAGTGGGCGACCTGTGGCACCACATTCGCGACCAGGTGACAGCTGCTGCCGAGGAGACCATCGGGCGCGCAAACTGTAAGCGGCCTGATTGGTTTGATGACAACAATGTGACGATTGACGCATTGGTGTCAGAAAAGAATGCAGCATTTGCTGCACATGTGGCAGACCCCCACTGGCTTGGGGAAAAATACTCAATTTCGCAAACTTCGACGGCGACTGACCCGAGAGCTCCGTCGCATTAAAATGCATGGTGGACGGAGAAGGCGAAGCAGATGGAATG